AGAAAACAGAGGCAAATTACTTTTAGAAAATACCTAATTTCACGAAAAATCGATGTTTCTTTATTCCGTTCGGATCATGTTCCACTGTGGCACTGTTGCTACTTTGAGAAAGACTTTGTTGAACTTGAAAACTATATTACTAGTCTATAAATATTGAGGTTTCACAATTGAGGTTTTAGCACATACTCTAAAATATAGAATGCTGGTGCCTAAGCTAGCGGTCCATCGCCTTTCCTTTCCTTTCATTTTTGTCACGCGATTATGACTTTGTTTACAATTATGACTTTGTTTACAAAACCGATGAGGGATACTATACCTACGGGTATAAAATATCCGAACAATGTCAAAAAAAAAGTAATGTTTCTCAAAATTCATGGATATATCAAATATTCGAAGATATTCTATCCACAGATTTTTTAACAAAGTTTTTGCCTCTTATTTTTATGAAATATTCAAAGATATCCAAAAATTGGTGGATAATGCGTGGATACCTTTAAATATTTTATTAACTTCCCGTAGGGCAAGTTATAGTAATCGCAAAAAAATCGGAAATGAAAATTTTTATATATCTTTACGTTTCAAAGGTTTCTGAACATTTTGGCATACCTTACAATTAGAAAAAATGGATGTATGTGTGTGTGTGTGTGTGTGTGTGTGTGTGTATGTATGTATGTACGTGTGTGTATGTATGTGCGGATACAAATCTTCGTCGACGATTTCGGGAACACGGATCAATCGATTTGAATAATTCAAAAAAAAATCGATTCGTATTGATAAGGAGACGTGCTGATTAGTTTTTGGCGAAGGCAGGTCTAGCCATTCCGAAGATACGGGGCAAAAAGTGCCAAAAACGGTACCTCAGTTTTTAAGAGAACGGAGCGTCCGATTTGAATAATTCAAAAAACATTTTATTTGTATTGACAAGATGAAGAATCCATAAAATTTTCATGAAGGTAGGTCCAGCGGTTTCGTAGATATAGAGAAAAAAGTAAAAAAATGAGCCATCTGGCGGTCAAAAATGATCATTAGACATATGCACATCAGATTATCAGATATTTTATAGAGATTTTAACAATAAGTATACATTTTGTTAACATTCCAATGGGTTCCGTACCAATGCCTATGCGTTAGACAGCGACGCGGCGCTTACGCGCTTTATATTTTGTCCCTATGCAGTTAAAGCAGTACGATTGCTTTGAAAAAAAAAGTTCAGAACTTCCACATAATGTCAAAATAAAGAAAAAAAATTTTTTTTCAAAAAAAAAAATTAAATTTTTTTTTTTTTTTTTAAAAAAAATTTTTTCAAAAAAGGTAATTTTTTGTCCAATTTATAGTTTCTCAAAAATCTCATTTTTTCAAAGTAATTTTTTTTCAAAAATGTTAAACGTTTTTAAAAAAATAATAATTCTTGGTACGGGAAATTCCAGCAATTTGCCTTAAGGCACGATGCCTTAATTGCCTTAAGACAGAATTCCACTTACAGCTAGTTTGAAAATAAAAACACAAAAACTCAGTCAAAAAATCCGTGGATATCTTTGAATATTTCATATAAATAAAACGGTAAAAACTTTATTAAAAAAATCCATGGATTGAATATTTCATAAAAATAAAACGACAAAAACTTCGTAGATAGATATCTTTGAATATTTCATAATAGTCCATGACTTGAACTTGATATTTATAATATATTCATGTTTTTGTTAAATTAATATTCATCATATTCATGCTCAATTTGAATATAAAAATATCAAGTTAAAACCTTAGGTATATCCATAGAATAATTTTTTATTCTTATTACGGGTGCTTATGACTTGTAAGAATGAATAATGTAAGAAAAAGGAAACAAATTCTGGGTCTCTCTATAGTAGAGGAAAAATATAATGAACAACATATCACCGATGTGCATGAGACTCAGGTTTAACGGAAAATTTTTGTGTTTAAGTGGTGGCGACATTGAATCATGGCGCAAGGGATTGTTTGTAAACCTTCTCGTTTGACATTGTTGACATAGGACCTTACAAAGAACTTACAACATACAAATGTTTGTGGCCTATTTTTTTTGGTTTTATTGATTATCACTTGAAATTAAGAATTTTATTATCAATATAATCTTGTCATACTATATTCTGTCAACGTTTGGTTCATATTAGTTGTTAATTTCTACAGTTTATTGCATTTCATACTATATGTGATAAAATGACTACTGAAGAAATGGATTTTAATAAAATTTGCCGAGTATGTTGTAGTGAAGGAGTTATGATGTCTTTATTTAAAGTTCAAATGTCGAAGAAATTAATGGCCTGTGCCTCAATACAGGTAATGCCCAGATCAATGACTTAAAAATATTGTAATAAAGCAATTATCACATATTGATTTATTGAAGGTTTGGCAAAATGATGGTTTACCACCTCAAATTTGTAATAAATGTGCTGCAAAGCTTCATATAGCCTTCCAATTTAAAAAGCTGTGTGAGCGTTCAGATGCACGCCTCAGACAATATATAATTAATCCTCAAGCAATGTCTCAAATTCAACATCAGCAACAACAACAACAGCCACAACAACAACAGCAAACTGCACCTCCTCAACAAAATCAAGGTTGTGTTTATGTTGAATGCACCCCAGCTCTAGATAATTTAAGCGAGCCTAAATATTATGAAAATTTACAAACAGTTTCATCACAGGTTAGCCCTCTTTATTTTCAATTATATAACTCAAGAGTGCTAAAAATATTTAATGAATTATCTTTAAAATTGCTTTGCTATTCTAAATAATAACATTTCTATTTAACAGTTGTATGCACAATCAAATTCTCTTCAGCCTTTACAATCATACAGCATTCAAGGTTTACATGTGCCTTCAGTTCAGTTTCCAGTTTCATCAGCTCAATATAACACAGTTCATCCAAATGGACATATACTAATTGGACAGTTGCCAGGTATTTGATCATATAAAATATTTTAATTGTCAATCTTTTTATACTTTTTTCTTGCAGTATCTTCTGCAGGACAAGTGGTAACTCTAAATAATGCTCCTGTTCAGTCAGTAGCGCAAATGCCAGATAATATAATGAAAAATACAAGTACTAACAGTATGCGAATGATCAAGAGGAAACCTTTGCAAGGTGTTATAAGATCTACAAATGAGAATGATGGATTTAAATGCTCTATATGTTTTAAGGAGTTTAGTTCTGCTTCAAAGTTAACTAGACATGTTAAAACTCACTCAGGGGAAATGCCTTATAAATGCAAAGTATGTCACAAAGCTTTCTCTCATAGTGGAAACTTTAAGGTATTTATTGAGATCAAAATTAAACTAAATTTTTTATCAGTATCAATAGATGCATACAACTCTTTTTTGCAGGTCCATATGCGAATGCATACTGATGAAAGGCCTTTTGTTTGTTCAGTGTGCGATAAAGCCTGCAGACAGGCGCAAGACTTGGAAAAACATATGCGCACACATACAGGGGAGAAGCCGCATGTTTGTCCTGTTTGTCAAAGGGCTTTCTCTACTTCCAGTAAGTCTGAAGCATGAATATATATTTATTGACCTATTTTATTTCTATATTTTTGTAATTTTGCTCCCATTTGTTATCTTTTCCATTAGTCAAAAAAAGTATCAATATATTTACTTTGTTTTTATTAGGTAACCTCATAGCACATGGGCGTATTCACACAGGCGAGAAACCTTATGTCTGTTCTGTATGTCAGAAAGCCTTTTGCCAATCAAATGAATTGACAAAACATGTTAGAACCCATACCGGTGAAAAGAGTCATGCTTGCACAATTTGCCATAAAGGTTTTAATGGCTCTTCTACTTTGATTGTTCATATGAGAAGCCACACAGGCGAACGACCCTACATATGTAGTATCTGCAATAAAGGTAAATAGCTTGATAAAGGCCATTTTGCTAAGAGCATTCAAGATTTAATGTATTTCATTATCTAATTTCATTTTATTTACTATTTATTTGTTCACTAACTGTTTATTAAATACCTGAACATAATCAATTCAAATTTCTCAAAATACACCACTTTGAATACAGTGGTTAAATATTTTAATCCAATTTTATATATTGCAGAAATAAATAATAAAATGTATTAAGTTTTATGAATCATAGAATTTTTAAATTAATAATTTAATTCATAGTCCTATTTTATTAATGTATGAATTTGTACAATTTGAAATGCATGGTTATTATATGTTATATTTATTACGGTTATTGTATACTCTTTATTCTATCACTTCAATTTTAATTATAATTTCCTTTTTAGGCTTTACACAATCAAGCTGTTTGGCGGTGCATATAAAACGACACACTGGAGAGAAAAACTTTCATTGTGAAACATGTTCTCGTTCATTCGTAACAAATGCTGATCTAAAAGAGCATATGCTTACCCATAGCTCTGACAAACCCTTTGGATGCAATATGTGTAATAAAAGATATTCTAGAGCAAATGATTTGAATAGGCATACAAAAACTCATGCATTGTAAAAATAAAAACTAAATGTACATCGGGATCTTTTTTTAATATTATTTCTCAGTTATAATGTAACTATAAAAATATGAGTAGCATACTACTACTGATATGATATATTATATATCTAGATAGATATAATATATATATATATATATATATATATATATATATATATTATATATATGTATATGTACATAATATATTATATAGATATATATAATATATTATATCTATCTAGATATATAATACATCATATCAGTAGTATATTATATCTATCTAGATATAATATATATAATAATTTTACTAATAGTAACAATAGATTAGAATATATCATTTATTTATGCGTTTTTCTATAAATTATATTACCGCTATTTAATTGTTTCACATTGGTCAATGCCGTTTTCCGAAAGACAAAAGTCATTAGTGTAGATTACTCGACGTACATACACAATCCAAATGTTAACATCCACTAATGGCAGCCATATTGGAAACAAATATCATTTTGACGTCGTCTACCGTTTGGTAGTGTTGATTTTTATTAAGAATTTTTTACGTTTAATGTTACTTTGATATCAGTTTTTACACATTAAGTAATATTGTGACTCAAATTACTAGAATTTTAGTGCAGTGACAGTTCTGTGATAGTTTGAGGCAAATATTGTGCCACTGTTATTGCGGGACCTTGAAGTCTACAAGTGAATTTTTCTTTTGTTTGGATATAATATATTATGCCATTCTTGTCAGGAGGTAGGATAACATTGCAATAATGCACCTATATACATTTACCGAATGCATGTTTTATTGCGTGTCAATTTTTGCGGTAAAGTTAGGTTAGCTATATCTGTTTCTGTCAACCTTCAAAACAAGCTTTTGGAGGGGACCGATATGTTTATTCGACTGTTCACAGTGCCTCTGATACATTACGACACATTGCGACATATCATAAATTTGTTATAAATTAGCTTTAAATATCAGGTTAGAGATGTCTCATTTGTAAATTAGAACTAAATTATGTCAATTGTAGCCTCATACCAACTTTCTTGTTACTATTGATATTTTACATGTTATTGAAGTAATTAATTTGTCAGGGATCTCAATTTATTATGCAGAATCACGAAAATGCAACTAGAGTTACTTTTACCAAGCAAAAACAATTAAATTAAAGTATTTACATTTGACGTTTCTAAAGTCATAGAACTCGCACTTGCTATTGAAAAATGACACAAATTTCTGGATGCAGATATAAAAACAGAGCACTGTGTACTATGTACAGCCTCATTCATCATTGTAAGATGACTGTAATTAGTTCTTTTCTTCAATTTTTTTTCATAAAGAATTTTTTTGAAAAAGTCAAAATTAACATTGTCAAATGATATGACTTATTCACTCTTTATACTAATAAATAAATTAAAAAAAATTTTAGATTTATGATCTTTTATTTCTCGTAAAACACACTTACCACTTTAAGATAGTTATTATACTTTCTACTAAAGAATACTAAAGAATCAGAGTACTTCAAGTATTTCTTTAAGATTTTTTATATGAAGAGTAATTTATTAAAATAATTATTTGTGCATACTAGTGGCACCATTATATAGAAACCCTCAATGAAATGAACAATTTATTTTATTTACAAATTGTAAAAGATGTTTCTAATTATTAAATATGTTAATCTATAATTGAGCCTTTCGTTTAAATTGTACCCTTCTTTTACTCATTTATATAAAAAAGTTAATTCAATTAAATTGCAAATATATCATTCTATCTATTTTATGGCAAATCTATCGACTATAGATATATTTTTGATAAGTAACATGCATTATGTTAATAACTTGTCTGAAATTAGAGTGAGCAACTCGAAACTGACATTAATTGTCGACTTATGTGCTCTTTGTTAATTTAATGAAACTGTACTTGATATTTTGCAAAAATTTTATCTCTAAAAGAACTAAAATCCGTAGCTTTTAATCTATGCAGACTTTTTTCAAAGTCAAACTGAATTCTTCTATTATCTCGTTACCATAAAACAAAAAATGCTGTAAGCATTAAATAAGTTGGAAAAGTTTGCTCAAAATTATGAGAACATTCCAATTAATTATATTGCAATCAAACAGCTACTATAGCTGTAAACATTTATTTTTATGAAAAACTTTGATTTGCATTACATCTTGTAATGCGATATGTAAGATTATAACATTTCATTATGGTTCTATTTTATTTATATTGCCCTTGAACATATTATCATTTTTTAACATTGTTGTAAACATTTTACGTTATTACAAATATATAATAGCAATATAATATTGCTTTGAAATTAAAATAGTAATTTAATATCTCTACAGCTGCTTATAATTTGAAATTTAAATATATACTAAATGAATAAACTTTTAATAGTAATATAGTTTATATCTTTGTCGTAAAATCTTTTATGCAATTTTGCATTTAAGGGGGTTGTTCTTTTTTTTTGTTATAAAAAGTGCAAGGTATTTGTTTTTGTTTTTCTCGAAATGTATTGATCATAGAGACATGCGTTTTTTTTTTAAACAAAAATTACAAAATCATAAAATATTAAGAAATTTTATAATTTTTTTTGTCGCCGTCATTTGTTAACCAGGAGGCGCCAAAGTGGGCATTGAAAAATCGATCTCTTTTGCGGTGCCACAGATAAATCCATTCGAGAAGCTTTGCAAAAATTTTTTGCTTAATATTACCAAGTTGTTTGAGGTAGGGGGACTAGGTATTGCAGTGGTGAACAAATTAAAAAAAATGCAAGTCGATCCGACTTGCATTTTTTTTTTAATTTGTGGCACCGCATTGGAAAAAGACAATTTGAGAAAAACCTATTTAAAGTTTTTAATATAATGTACAAAATACAACATTTAATTTAATGTACTAAATACACCATGGTGTTCAAAGATGCTGACACATTAAAAAGGTCATGTGCATGAGGTATTATAATGAAAAAGAGAGCAGCTGGCATACAATAGCTCCGGAGCAATGAAAAAAACGGTTTCAGAGGATCATACATATAAAGATATATATAAATATAACTTCGTCAAAAAACTAATGTTTTTATCTTTCCTAATATCAAAAAATCTCAAAATCGAAAAAAAAATAAAAAAAGAACAACCCCCTTAAGAACGAATAATAACTTTTCGAATAACCATTTTACATGGACTTTTACGAGTTAGGTGTTTTCTAATTATAAGAATCCAATATAATTTGAAAAAGTATTTCATGAAAATATAGTTTTGTATTATGAATTTTCTTGTAGTAAGGCTTTCCAAAAGGTTATTAACAAATAGCTGCTTTTTATTTGACCACGTGGTTACTTGGTACCTAGTATATCATCCGATGGAAAGTTATCTGTTTGCCTAAGGGGCAATGAAGTATTAAACTTCCTAACATATTCAAGATTTTGTAAAATGGTTCTTTAAAGTGTATCATCTGGTAACCTCTTTGACCACCGGTAAGATGTCAGCGCCTGCCATTATCGGTCTGCACTCGAGTTTTCCGGCAGGTTAAATCCAGGTAGTGTGGCGCTCTCTTCCAATGCTCCGTCCGCGGTAAGCGCTCAAGCTCAGAGCACACCGGACGCTTACCGCTTAGGTAATGACCTTCGTTTCGTGACGTACTCGACCGCCACTCGCTCTGTCGGAAACCGACGAGTGCTTCATGCCGAGCGCACACGAATGGATCCGGGTCAAAGCCGAACTCGTGCCTCAATCAGCGCAGATACAGCGGCTCTCAACGTTTTGCAAATAAAATCAACAAAAAATGATAGTTAAGAAATTCATATTTCATGAAAGTACTCGTATATCCATTTTCAAAATTTGACAATGGTCAAGAGATTTTGTATTTTTAACTTCCCGTAGGGTAAGTTATTGTAATGGGCCGAAAATCGAAATTGAACATTTTTACATTTCTCGACGTTTTGAAGGTTTCTGAACATTTTGGCATGCCACAGAAAAAATGGATGTGTGTGTATGTATGTATGGATACAAATTTCCAGTCACGTTTTCGGGCGCACGGATCAACCGATTTGAATGGTTCAAAAAACATTCGATTCCTATTAATAGGGAGATGAGCTGATTAGTTTTTGGCAAAGGCAGGTCCAGCAGTTACGGAGATAAAGAGCAAAGAGTGCAGAAAATAGAAATCGAGTTTTTGAGAGAACGGAGCATCCGATTTGAATGATCAAAAAAACATTCAATTAGTAATGATTGGGAGAAGTGGTTATTAGTTTTTGGCAAAGGCAGGCGCAGCTATTTCGAAGATTCGGAGCTAAATGTGTAAAAAATGGCAGTTTTTGAGAGAACTAAGCGTCCGATTCAAATGATTCAAAGAACTTTCTGCTTCTCTTAACAAAATAATTGGATTTCAAAAAAAATATTTTTGTATATCAAAAATAATTCAGATTTTATTTTTAATTCTGACTATAGTTCTAATATACTTTAAACAAATAATTTCAACTTTGCAATTCAGTTTATATAATTCTTATAAATATTACACAATGTTACAATATTAATAATAATCTATTTGAAAACATTCAGTATTCCTCGAAGATTTCGTTACGGCACGGGAAGTTCCAGCAATTTGCCTTAAGGCACGATGCCATACATCCCACTAGTTTTAAGGATATTTTTTCCACAGTTTTACTTGTTGTCCATTTCAGGACAGATGTAAAAACTACTTGAACGTTGTGTTGTAAAAAGTTGTAAAAAAAACAGTTGTTTTTGGAAAAATATGTTTCCTTTTTTGGGCACCAACTTGGACCAGCTCAATGATATCTAGTCTTTCAAAATTTGGCTCAGCTGATAACAAATATGATTTCCAATCATATGCAATAATTTCTATTCATAATCCCTAATTATTACGAATATTTGAAATGTGATAGTTTATTCTTACAGTTGTCAAGAAATCAAAATATCTGTATTTAAGGTGATTATATTGTGTGCTAAATCAGGTTGCAAAGTAATTCGATTAGTAACTAATTCTCTTTATATAGTGTAATATGTACAAGTACCCACGTTGCCTATGTTTGCTATATTAATTGTTATGGTTGACATCCCACCGCTGCCACCATGTAAAGCTGGTACCCCAAACTGCTACCAAATAATGTTGTGCCACCGATGATGCCAACAATATGTAGATTCTTTCTGCTGCTAACAAAGCTGTCACCAATCTGCGTAGTTTGTATTCTGACCATCATGGTGGCTTATTATGTTATTTATAATTATTGCGAACATATCCCTTACAAAGTATATAGGTAATAATTACGAATATTTGAAATTTGATAATATATTCTAACAATAGTCAAAAAATCGAAATATCTTTATTTTAGCTGATTATATTTTCTGCTAAAACAATATGTCCAAGATTGCCCATGTTGGCCAAGAAATGTGTAATATGTACAAGTTGCCAATTTGAGGATTTTTATTCCTTACGTGTATGGTATCGTTTCTTTCGTTTATCTTACATTTATTTATCATGTTTAAGTGTTTATTTCATTGATTTGAACAGCAATCAGAACTTAAGAGTCAGTAAGCTGTTGGGCTAATTTCTTTTAATACTACGCCGGTTTTACGGATGGCAATCCAAACAGTTGTCTATCTTTGTGTGATAAATTTTATTAATACAATTTCTGTAATAGGGCGAATATTTTATTGATGCAATAGTGCCGGATGAGGACTATTTTCACTTGGAAATATATATATTTTTAAGTGAAAACTGATGTCACTCCTGCT